CCCCAAAACCCCAAAACCCCAAAACCCCATAAGCATAATATTTGCATCAATTTAAAAATGATAATTAATTAAATCAATGAAACTCTAATTCATGAGGCTAGATTGGCTTTTCTAAAGGAACCACTGTTACCTTGTCCTTATCACGAGGCATAGCTTTTCTCATATCATAAGCATCTTCAGATGAATCAACTCCTCCACTATAATAACCTAGCACAGTTCTGTATACTATGTATCCCAGATTTTTATACATATTTATTGCCACCTCATTAGAAGGTCTCACAAACAAATCGACAAAGAATCCATTATGTCTCTTTACTGTTACTTCTTCCAGATAGTCCATGAGTGCTCTAGCTAAGCCTTATCTTCTAAATTGTGGAGCAACAGTGACTGCACTTACATGCCCATGCCAGTCTTTCTTAATATCATTTTCCTTATCACCCTCCACTTTGCCCAATAAATATCCTTAAAACATGGAAATTGAATTCTCTGCCAAGACGCAGTACTCTGGCCACTTGGACAAGTATGTGCCATAAAATGATGTGTAGAAAGTCTCAGTTAGCAAATCCAAATTAATATTGTTGTACTTAAGCAAGTCAAACATGTTCATTGGTCTAATCGTTGCCATTTTAATATGCTAAATTTATTGATTAAATTATAGTCTTTAAAAAATTATGTCAATAATACTTCAATCAATATATCAAGAGATTTCTCATTCTCATTCTAGCTTTGGCTGATTAATGTATAATCTGGTGAAGTCATTTAGATCATCTAGGTTTGCTCTATTCACAAAGTTTTATTGATTTTGCATAAATTGTGTCGCCACTTTCTAAGATGAGTTTAGTTCTAAACCTAATTAAGCTTGTAAAAATTGGTTTAGCTCTTGCTAGAATTTCTGTGTCACTGTATTCTCTGCTTCCATTTAATTTAATAGTAATAATTTCTAGATTTTTCCATTAATTTTTCAATTCTAGGTTAGTGGGGTTTTGGGGTTTTGGGGTTTTGGGG